CTTATTTGCATTGCTTTTCCTTATGTCCATTTGTTTATACACGAAGAGTTTACTATTACTTTTTCCGCTTATGCATTTCATGAGATTCTATGTGTTGTAAGTGGATGCATGAACATGTGGTTGAGTAATAAGAGAATTGTAGTGTGGTTTCTTCCCATGCTTCTTCTTTATTTTCTCCTACGGTTTATTGGCTCATTTTACTTCGTTTATCATTAGGAATAGATTTCTTTTTTCTACTCTATAATTGAGAGGTAGTATACCATTGCTGTAGCTAAAGATTACTCCAAGAAAGGACTTTTAAGGTCTTCAGCTAATGTAATATTCTTTAGGTTGACAAGAGGAAACCTAAATTTACCGGGATTATGTTTTTTTGGGGAACTTTCTGGATCTCATTAAGCAATTGGTGGCCTTTTCTTAAGCTCTAAAGCATGGATCAGTAGTAAATATATTGGTACTTTTTGGGTCGGGAGTTTATTACACCAGGCGCAGTTTATGTGTGATCTGCAAAGAAATTTCGTTTTATGTTGGGATGCTTGAAAGGGTCATTAACTTGTGTGTTTACTTGTGATAGGTTTAGAAGATCCTATAGTCAAAGCTAAAGAACTGCCAAAGAATGGATGAGAGGCTGAAATAGAACTTTGGATATAAGGTCAATCTGTATGTATGATCTTATATCAAAATCATGCTGTCAACTTCTTCCCACCTTATTTTGTAAGTACTCTTATGATTCTTCAGTTGGCAGTGCGTCAGAGTCATATTGCTATACCACATTTTCTGCTGGAAAGCATAAGATAGACTTATTGTAAAAAAGTTACTGAGGGTTGCCACCCCTGCGGAAAATGATTCTCAATAAACTTCTAACATTAATGAGTTTGGATGTGAACGCTGTGTTTTGCTTCTCCTTCTATGAACTTCTGACATTTCTCTCACTGTTGGAGGAATGAAATCCTTCAATCTCTTCTTCTCCTTGCTTGTGCTAACATGCATTCTTATCCATGCCCGGAGTTCATTTGAAACTGAAGAAATGATTGGAATCTTAAGGAGGACTTTAATTACCTAGGATCTTTACATGGTCCCTATCCTAAGCTAAGAAAAATCATAGGATCGATGTGATCCTACTGATCCCATTGGTCGACCTTTGACATACTTTCACCTTTAAATATGTATATCCGATGTTCAGGTAATAGAAATACTGATTTTTCTTGTACATGTAGTATATAAACTATAAATTCACACCATTTTGGAGTTTTAATGTCACACCATGTTCATAATTAACAAACTTCATTGGACTATCCAAGATTTCTATATTGTCGGTGTAATACTTTAGGATCTTACAACCCACCATCTGATGTTACAATCCGATCCCTTAGACACCTTCATCGATCATAAGTAGGATCCCGCTCCTCACAACCTTGTTCTTAACTGTAGAAAACTCAACCAAGAAAGCACCAACAGTTAATGAGTGTTCCTAGCAACCTTGTTCCTAACAACCCTAGGGCACACTTACAAAATCACCAATTACCAGAATCAAAGCCGTTCAGCATGTTACTGATTGTCAAAATGTTTTTTAAGACAACCTTCTTTTTCTAGGGAAAGAAAGCCACTCTTTGAGGAACTTCCTTTACTAGATTGCCTCCAAGGAAATTAGCCTCCTCGCTCACATTTGTCTCAGAAAAGACAGATTAGTATATTGTTGGATTGAAAATACCTGCCAACAGACCGAATGATCCTTATCTTCGGTGTGATTCACACCCTCAATGTTGTAAAGAAAAATATAGAAAGACTACACCGTTCCAATTCCCAATCTTGGGTACTTCAAACCATATTTAAATATTCCATCAGGTTCTGTCATAACCAGTATACAAAAAAATCTCAAAATTGTACTGGCTTGCTACAAGCCTTAAAAGAATTAGGGAATAATTGTTTTATGAGTGATTTTACACTTAATGCACCATGCCAGAAGAAGATAGAGTAATTTGTAATCAAGAGATTGTGATGGATTAGCTTTCCTTTTTTTATCAACTTCTACTCTACAAGTTCTCCTGCTCACTTCCATCATCCCCGTTATGCAAGAATTTGTGTCGTCTCAGGTAGTTAAGATTCGAGAATGTGTTTTAGCATTAGTAGTTAAATAGTTCTGGGCTTGTCCCATCGAGCTGAAATTCTGTATGCTTAGTCATCTTGCTGATGGAAGAGGTATTTATCTAAATTCTTCGGTGGATTCTTCATCCTTAGTGATATGCTTTTCGAAAAATACTATTACAACATGATAGAGTGATCGCAACATCAATGGTTGAAGGATGAGTTGCATCTGGACCTTCAGTGGGTGCTATCCTTTTACCTCTTGTGCTCTAAGTACATTTTTTATTAGGTACAGCGAAAAGGTTTTCCATGGCAATATCTTTGCAAACAGCTTCCCTTGCTTTCTTGTAAGTTGAGCTTGTTGCATTGAATGCATGTGTCCAGAATCCACTGAATGGGTAGTTGGTTGTTTTGCTGTTTTTCTCTGCCAGGGATCTAGCAGTTTCACATTGAATGTTCTGTTTTCTCTGGTTTCAAGCAAAAATTAAGGAAGTGCTTTATATAGTGTTGCGGGACTTGCAATTTAGCTCCGCCGTGGTACACCAGGTTGGGAACCTTTCTGCCTTCTGATGACTTGCAGAAATTTACCTACATTTTAGTGTGAAACATGTTTTATGATAAAATAGTTGATAAAGATATTTAACTGTGAAAGATATTTTAGCATGCTTTCACTATTCCGATGACAGCCATTCCCTAGAATCACAAAATTGATATCGTATTTATGGCTATGCATGATTTGTAACTTATGTAACACATTATCTTACAGCTTGTTTACTTTGCATGGCAATAACTTTAGCCAAATGGCATGCTTTTTTCTCTTCTGTATTCTCCACTCTCCAAATTGTGTTTTGTCTCATGATGTGATCACCGATCATGACAAATATTTAGGTGACTATAGTATTACCCACTGTATTCTCCATTAGTAGACTATAAATACTTCATTAACTATGTTCAACAGGAAAGTCTTGCTGCAGCTTTTGGGAACGGCTTGTCAACTGCCTGCATTGTGAATGTGGGAGCTCAGGTGACATCAGTCATATGCATTGGGGTACTTGTAAGATTTTACATTTTGCCTCTATTGGAGTATAAGTCTTGCTTTTGGTGATGCAGAGCAGATGATGCAATGCTCATCATTGCCGCCAAGCTTTTAAAGCAAATTCACTGGTCATGTCAACATAGATTGACCTTAGAGATAACACCTTTTCATAAACCGAAGGAAAAGAAAAAGGAGCTATGCTCGTTTGTCTTTATGAGTGACCCATGACGAGAGTAATTATTTCTGAAATCCATATTGACCTGTAATTATTATTAAAGAGCAGTGCAGTCTAAGCTTTCAACATCAATCTTGACTTGTTATCACCATACCGGCAGTGAGATTGTTGCTGCTGCAGCCTTCATCCTTATTCTTTCCTCTTTGCTATAAATTTCTTGTTCCACCATCTCCTCTCATTTTGTTAATGTTAGTGTCACCTCCAAATTAATGATTGAAAACTGAATTAAAATGATGAAGAAATTCTGTTTATGTTTTGATTTTTCCTATCACCAATTATGCTACAAAGTTAACATTTGTAAATAGGCACTCTCCTTTTCTAGACCACTGTAATGCTGTGTTTCATATGTCTGATTAACATTCTTCTGGTAAACAAATAACTCTCAATTGGGCCAATATTGTATTAACAACAATGAAACAAATTAGACTTCTACACATCCTGCTCAGACCTTATATCTACTGACAACTTTAAATATTATGATGGATTATGTTCCACTGAGTTAATGAAGAAATTGTCCTTTGTAAATGTCAGGATGGAGTGGCTCTACCTACCTCCGAGAAGATAGTACCATTTGATGGAGTGGTGCTGCTTACTACTTCTCATAGTTCTGAGCTTACTGCAGTATATCTGCATTAGCCTCACTACCATCATGTGCACAATGTTTAAAGTTGATTTGCTTAACCACCTTACATACTTGAAGGTTCCTCTTTTGATTTGCCTGTATTATGTGAGGTCTGGCTATCATTATTTGGCGTCACACTACAGATAGAGAGCTTTTGACGCATATACTGTTTTTTATCTTGAGATAACTTAATTCAGCATGCAACTTTTTATTATTTGTCCAGAATATCTACTTTATTGTTTAATTGGACTTGAAATTACTTCATGAACATCCAAGATTATGATATTGATGGGTAATAGGGTTTCAGGATATATCCAGATGCCTCCTATGGACCCAGAGGCATCATATATTATGGCCTCAAGTTCGCAGTGACATGTTGAACAAGCGTACAGATATGTTGATGCTAAACGAACTGAAAGAACCCTAGTGATACATCCAAGTGAGTCTATGAATCCCTCTAATTTGGTAATTAAGATTTGGTGTTCGTCAAAATTCTTGTACTCGTGAGCACTGAAAAACGTATGCCCATGCTCCACTTTTAATGGTAGAAACCCACGTGAGAATGGGGATTTATGTTTTAATATTAACGAATGCGAAAGCTAACCGAGATCTTACAAATTAAGCCCAATATGAAATTACCAAAGAAATAAACAAGGAATGATAAAAGACACCCAAGATTTATGTGATTCAGTCCGATATATCAGTACTTACGTCTACGAAGAGAGCCAGCAACAAATAATCCACTATAATCGGAGAATCCAAGTTATAATTGCTCACTCACATGCTCAAGTGTTTTCTACACCTAAATTATACCCAAACCCCAAGTGTTCTCTTTCGGACAATCCGTATCATAGCATTCTTCCACAAACTAAGTTTCGTGCTTACAGGAGGTGGAGGTTGATGCTGTACCAATTGTTCACTCATACGAGGACGGGATGCCAGCTGTATCTCATAGGACAAGGCTTACTGCTCTCAAAGTATGTTTCCCAAAATGAAATCTCATCTCTATAGTACTTTGCTTCTAGATGTTTAGCTTTCTAGAGATGCACCAATAGTTCTTTTTTATTTAGGTACCTCTATAGGTTTGTTTTATTTAATGCTTTTGGCTCCAGATGTATATCCTCCGCCACCTCGTTCTTGGTGAGCGAAATTGTTACTTCTAAGAACTTTTCAGATCAAGTTTAATCGTGACAAAATGATTATTTTGCAAGGTATAATGATAGTGAGGATATTCTAAAAGAAACTTGGCATTTTGATTATCCCAGACGACCAGACATGGCAGATAGCTTTTATCCTGGGTTTAACATTAAATTGCTAATGTGGGACAGCTATCTTATATTTCAAACAAAACTTAAGAAGGAAGAGAAGGTTGACCTTGCTGAAGCAATCACTAGTAGCATCCTTTCAACTGGGAGGTCCTTCGCAATTTCTTCAATTCTGCTTGCAGGGATTGTTAATGTATCATGGTTCATAGTTTTTTATATTACTTTAACAGGGCATATCGATCTTAAGAGAAAACTATTCTGCAGCATACAACTGGTGAGTATCGTGCACACCCTGAGATGTTCTTTGAATTGCTATAAATTGACTGGGTATAATGACTCGGTTTGGTGATTTAGATTGGCGGAGTGGCTTTGACTGAGGATCTCATTCCCGGTGTAGAAGAAAGGTTAGTTTTGCTTATTCTTTAAACATTTGCAGAATTGTGCCTTTTTGAGCATTCTTGCATGGTGACAGAATTTCCTGTTCGACTCTATATTAACCGATGTTAAGAGCCTCGTCTATGCTGAAAGAAAATTGATGAATATATTACTTACAGAAATCTGCTGGAGTAATCCCTCCTTAGATTAAGATATTGGCATCTTTTCTGGCAAAAGTTTGAAGAAGGAACCCATTAATATAGACGATGAGCTCTAAACATGTATGTTTCGGGCTTGTCATGATTTCATGATATTTGAAACCCTATGCAATTGTTATATGCCAATTGCTTTCATATAATTGATGGTTCATCCTGCATGAGCTCCCTTTTGGTTTTGAGAGCTATTTTATGTATGGCTTTAGTTTTTTGGGCTGTTTATGTAAATGGGTTTGCACCCGCTTGGTGCCCTATAGTTGAACTTTTTCTATTTATCAAGCAAAAATCGTCTATAGGACTAGCAATGACTATCATCAAAATTATTTTAGGACTAAAAGAAACTGAGAAAAAGCTCACTTCTAATTTATGTATGCTCCTTTGTTTTCTGGAATCTTCCATTTAAATAGAAGGAATTTTCTTTGGAGAATTTAAAGAAAAAATGAACCTCGGGTCAATAATGATGTGTCTAAGTGCCCAATTATGGATTTTGGCGTGATTGTCCAGTATTTTGCTATCCTTTTTCCATAGGTGGTATGTTTCAATAGAAGTTTCGAAGCCTAAATTTGTGTCTCATTGCTCGTTGATTCTCTTCTTCTTACAGAGTATTTCATGCAATTCCTTCAGATGAAGCAATTGATACAAACGAGGTCAACATGCTCTTTCCTTGCCATGTCGCTATCATATTTTCGTTGCTATATTTAGTTGTTGACTATACGTGGAGATTAGCTGGTCATGCAGCTTTAATTTCATTGTATTGGTGACCACATGATACGCAGCATCATTTAGCACAATGTTCAAATGTTAAATGGGTCGATTTTGTGGATGTTTTCGATTGATGGTATAAAGGACGACATTCTATCTATGCTTCTAAATTGTCGTTTGTCAAATTTCTTAAAAACATGTCTTGTTCAAAGGTTGAGCCTTGGTTTTTTTTGGCGTCTCAATTCTATCGCATGACTTGAGCTGGCCACCATTCATCTCATGCTTTGAAGAGTTCGTCATAAAGGTTATTTAAAAGTGCAGTATTCTTAAGCTATGACTTACGAACAGTGCATGTGAGATAGATAATCCATTACGACTGAAATTTGTGCACTTCTGGATTGAGCAAAATGAGTTGTAGTCTTTTGTTTAACACTACATATGAACTTTGTGAGTCTTTAGCAAGTTTTGCAATTAAGGACATGCCCTACTTTTGTGTCATGGAACGGTGGAGCAGTAAGATAAGCATTGTATCATCACATTTTCTCACTATTTTTATTTTTCTGTAAGAAGATGAATTTTGTCTAAGACTCTGTATATTTGGTGAGTTGAATATGACTCGTTTCGTTTATTGCCTAAGGGAGAATTGAGAGCTATTTGTGTGAGAAACTCTGTTGGTTTCTTGATCAAAACATGCAAAACATATTCACCACCATCTCTTTTTCTTGGCTAATGATTATGGCAGTAACAGCAGACATTGCATTTTCAAAAAGTATGTGCCTTTTTGAAAAATGGCATCTCAAAGACGTAGAAAAGCTTCTTCAAATAGAGACACGCCATGGTTCCGTGTCAATGCAAACTCGTCACATAAGGTGATTCGATTCTCAAGTCAGACCTTGTCATGGTCTCTTAATTAGTGTATTCAAACACTGGCTAACTTAAATTTTTTTCACAAATATTGATATCCATCACTCAAACTTGCATCTTCTTATTGACGAGCTTACTTGTTTCATGACCAAATATACAGAGTCTAAATACACTAACTTCTTAAGTTAATGAGAGCATTTCGCTACTAGATGTTGGAAACTGCGGTTCAAGACATTGATTGCTGACCTTGATGGGTCTAAATACATTTATGTGTCTACCAGGCAGCACCAGATGTTGAACGTTCAAATCATTTTCACTTGCATAGAGATTCGTGGCTGCCCTTTCCACGTGATCCACGGGCAAGATCATATGCCTGTTTTTGGGTCTATCCTCTTTTTCTCTTTAGTCCCTTTTTTGTAGACCCCACGCGTCTTTCTTTTGCACCACCAACATTTCCACATGCTTTATCTTCTCATTGGTCAATTTCCATTCCCACGTTATTAACTGCCAATAATTCTCTTCAGCTACGCGTCCGCGTAAACACCGCCACATTCACAATCACTTCTGTCCAAAAGTAGCCGGAAATAAAATCCGACGCAAATTTGCGACGGAAAATAAATCCGTCGCAAATTTACGACGGAAAAAAAAAATTCATCGCAAATTTACAACGGAAAAATAAATCCGTCGCAAATTTGCGCCGGAAATAAAATCCGACGCAAATTTGCGACGGAAAATAAATCCGTTGCAAATTTGCGACGGAATTTGCCACAAAATAAAAATTCGTCGCAAATTAGCGACGGATTTTTCCGTCGCAAAATAAAAATTTGCGACGGAATTTGCGACGGATTTTTGCCACAAAATAAAAATTCGTCGCAAATTAGCGACGGATTTTTCCGTCGCTAATTTGCGACGGAAAATAAATCCGTTGCAAATTTACGACGGAAAAAAAAATCCGTCGCAAACTTGCGATGAAAAAAAAAAATCCGTCACAAATTTGCAACGGAAAAAAAAATCCGTCGCAAATTTGCGACGGAAAAAAAAAATCCGTCGCAAATTTGCGCTGGAAATAAAATCGGATGCAAATTTGCAACGGAAAAATAAATCCGTCGCAAATTTGCGACGGAAAAAAAAAATCCGTCGCAAATTTGCGCTGGAAATAAAATCGGACGCAAATTTGCAACGGAAAAAAAAAATCCGTCGCAAATTTGCGATGGAAAAAAAAAATTCGTCGCAAATTTGCGCTGGAAATTAAATCGGACGCAAATTTGCGACGGAAAAATAAATCCGTCGCAAATTTGGGACAGAAAAAAAAAATCCGTCGCAAATTTGCGACGGAAAAAATATCCATCGCAAATTTGCACCGGGAAAAAATCTGACTCAAATTTGCGAAGGAAAAAAAATCCGTCGCGGATTTAGCGACGATAAAATCAAATAAATGTTAGTAATTAAGTAAAATAACAGTTAGTAATAGAAAATTAATTGGTATTAAATCGTAAAATGGGATTAGTAAGTCATGCAAAAAGAAGCATGACTCAATATAAAAATTGGTAAGTTAAAAAACCAAATGGGTAAGCAACTCAAATTAGAGTTGACAATCCAAAACTAATTGGTAACTTAATTGGGCAAAAGTTAATGAGGCACACAAAAAAGTTGATAATTTCATGTAATAGAAGATAAATTCAAAGCTGGTAGAAAATTAGAAATGTATTTTTGTTAGAGATAAGAAAAGTCGGTCATTTCAAAATAGAAAACCAAATAAAAGAAGGTAACATAAAACTAGTTAGTAACTTGATCGAAAAAAGTTGGTAATCACTCTAAGGGTACGTTTATTTTGCGGAAAACTTAATGATAAAGGAAAGTGTTTTCCGGAAAATCATTTTCCATGAATACGTTTAGTTTTCATTCGTTTGGTGATATACGATAGAAATCGTTTTCTGATGTTTGGATTTCATTGGAAAATGATTTCAATCTCATGACTTTATTTTAGATCAAAAAAATAAAAGAATTTTTAAATATTTTTATTTTAAAAAAATCGAATTTCTTAATTATTTTTTATTTCTCTTTTTTATTTTTGTAAAAAATTTAAATTTTTTAATTATTTTTTAAAAGGTCGTCGCTAAATCCGTAGCTAATTAGCCACGGATTTAACGACGAAAATAAACTCTTGCTTCACTTTCCCGACTATTTTTTATTTTCGTGGGTAAATCCGTGGCTAATTAGGCACGGACTAAAATCCATCACAAAATTACACTATAAAAAATAAATTGAGCCTTGGAAAATTAGCGACGAACATTTTTGTCCATCGCTAAAATTAGCAAAATTAGCGACGGACAAAGAAGTCCGTCGCTGAATTCTTTGTCCGTCGCTAATTTTTGCGACGGACAAAACGTTCCCTGCCCTCACTTCCAATTTGCCCGCCCTCACCCGCCATTCTCTTCTCTCTCTCTGCTGATTCCTCAGATCCTCCCTGCACTCGCTGTTCTCCCTGCCTCTCCCTCTTTCGTCTCTCGATCAGATCTGCACTCGCTGTACCCCTCGCTAGATATAGAACCTACCCCTCGCACCGCAGCTTCGATGATGGTGGAGAGGACGCGCCGCCGCGGAGGAGGAGGAGGAGCAGCAGCAGCAGCAGCTGGGCCCCGCGTCCCTTCGGGTTCCCTCGGCCCCCCGTGTTTCCCTCGCCCCCGTCCCTCCCTCGTCCGAATTGGGGGGCGGCGCCGCCGCCGAACTGGCCTCGAGGTACTTCCCCTTTGGGTGTTCCGGTTGGTGTTCGCTGGATGGGGTCGTCGCGTTCCGTGATTCTTGCACCCGATTGCCGGCTCGTTCGTTTGATTGCGTGCTCCTCCCGTTCTCTCGGGTGCCTGATTGCTCGATTCTAGCTGCGTTCCTGCTCGTTCTCGACTGTTTCGGGTGTAGTTTGGGGTAAAGGGGGTTCTGGTGTTGTAATTCGTGATTTTAGTGCTAGTGTTGCGTGCTGAATTTCAAGCGATGTTTCTGGGTGCGACAGTGGTGTTGCTTGGCTTTTGATTTTCGTATCCAGCGGGGTTCTGTTAGCTGAATTACTGGGCTGAGTGTTCAAATTCGGAGCTTTTGCAATGCTCTCGGGGAAGTAAACTTTTTGGTTGTTGGGTCTTGAATTTACACTTTTCTTTACTTGGGAATGTGTTCAGTTCGATTCCGTTGAAAGTTCTTACCTATGTCTGTGGTTCCCCAGAGGAGTATTGGTTAAATAGCGGAAGCTTGCAACTTTTGTTATGCTAAGTGACTGTTGAGTCGCCTTTGGTAACAGAGCTTGCTTGGTGAAGTCGTTCTGACCTGTAATTCAGTTTGGAATTGGCTCCCCCCTGCTTCAAGTGATTTTGGAGGGTTTAGACCATGGATTTCTCAAAACTTCTAGCACCTTTGATTTTTTTTCCCTTGCTTTTTTGTAATTATAACTAGAAGCTACTGCGTTGAAATTAAAAAGTAAAAAACAATGTTACTGTGTTTTTAGGTCTTACAGTTTGTAAAATGCATCTCTTTGGAAGGTATAAATTACGATTTTAGGTGCATAAACTTCTTGACCAAGCTTTTCTTGAAGTTGTGGAGTGTGCTCTGTCAACGAGGTTGGCATCTTATTTTTCCTAAATGATGGTAGATAAGCTCTGACATCTGTTTTAATATGGGTGATGGTATGGCAGTAAAACACTTATCAGCATGGCAAGCCAACTTTGATTGATGGGGATGTATTAACTTGGTATCCTAACCCAGGAAGAATCTCCTAGGATATTGACTCATGGCTAGGAAGGGCAATCAGCAGAAGAATGGGGTTAGTAGTTCCTCACAGAATGGCAAAAAGAAGGGTTCAGAAACACATCAAGAAAGAAGACAAGCTACTGACGTGAAGATTCCTCCTAAAGAGACAACTGTGAACAGTCATCACTCGAGCAACGTGTCGGCTGAGAGCATGAGTCAAGGAACTGGGAAACTAATGAGTATGGATAAACAAGGGACAGATGCAGCTCAGGGATTAGAGCACCCAGTTCTGTCTGGGGAATCTTCAGGGGATTATATTCAAAATGCATCTCCTATGGGCATGTCCCACGAGAGAGAACAAGGTGGACTACATTGTGATAATAATTGTCAAAATAGCCGAAAAGGTGGCCTGGGCTGCAAGCTGAATGGGCATATAACGAATCTAATAGAAAATGTCCACATATTTGACAATTTAGTTGTTAGAAATGTGAGAAGATCAGTTTTGTGTGTCCTAAAGGCAGCTGGAGAGTGGCTAGAGTCACAAAGACCTTTTGTCATTAATTTAAAAGGTGACATACTAAAGGCTCGTGACTATGTCAAAGTGAAGATTGAGCTGGCCTACTAGGTTGTTTTGAAATGGCTTGTATACTTTGGGAACACAATGTTTCTCTTATCAATGATTTGGTTGGATTGCACTCTTAGGGGAATCGATTCTTTCCTACATATGGGGACTACATCTTTCTTTTCTATCATATGGTGTGGAATTTTCTCAGCTATCGCTATGGTCGGCATGGTAAAGTTTCTTGTGGTCTCGGTAAGTCACTCATCACTTTTTTCCTTTTAGGTCGAAAAGTCACTCGTCACTTCACAAGCTACTTTTATTGACTTCCTATTGTATTGCTGGTTCAAGTTATCCTTTCCCATCCTGACATGACCTGTTACCCTGGATCCATTCATGTTTGTATGTCAATATTTCATCCTGAACTGAGCTTATAAATATGTGCAACTCCTCCTTCCTGTCAAAGTAGAAGAAATCAAAATAAGCATAGAGTATTACCTGTTGTCACTTCCAAACTCCTTGGAGCCACACGGTATTCTTGCTGGATTTTATCTAGTAAGATACACATCCTCTTTTGTCTATGTTCCTAGAATTCATTCCTCAGTTGCTCTTTCTGAAATGTTCAGAATAACTCTATTAAGCACACTTTGCTTCTGCTGCATTCCTTTTTACTGACTGAAGTTTGCATTCATTCAGGTGCAATGATGTTCTTGTGGGTATTTTTGTGGGGTTTGCCGCTGCACTTTTGCTGCTTGCACTTTGTGGCACTGTCTTCTTGTGGTTTTATGGAAGTTTTTGAACAACAGCTCTTGTAATCATCCTTGCAGGTAATGGCTTCGAGGCTTTCTCTTAAAGACTTAACTCGATGTCTGCTATTAATGTGCTTTTGAGTTTGTAAGCTTGCTTAGATCCAATATTCATGTACATGCAGGTATATCATTCACATTGAGCCATGAACGCCTTGCACTTTTCATATCCTCACAATCTATGCCGTGTACAGTCATTATGTATCCTTTAGAAGCTGAATATATTAACATTTAATGTGGAAACAATGTCACTAATTTTGTGTCTAATTCCAGACAATTTATGTTTTGTAGAAGAACAGCTTTGAGCAATTCTGCATAAGTTATGCAAATGAGAGGTTGCAGCAACATTTCAACCGGCATTTGTTAAAACTGGAGCAGGAAGTGAGCATCTCACATGGACCGTGTCTTTAGTTTTGTTCAGTATTTATATGATGGGTGTTGTCGCTAAAAGCAGGATATTCTTTTTTGATTTATTTCTGTCGTCATTATTTATTGTGCAAAGATTAGTTATTGTGCAAGATTATATATTCTCTCATTATGTGTACTATAAAGAAAAATATTTATGTCATTTTTGTGGAAAATGTAGATGAATGTATTTCATTTTCATATTATTATAATATTTTGATGTTATTAAGTGTTTAATCAATGTTAAATATAAATTCCAAAAATTAAATTTTCTTTTAATTAGGTTTAAAATCACAAAAATAAAATAAATGATTTTATCGTACGATCACAAATTACAAAAGTTCGTTCCAAAATTAAAATTTCGTCGCTAATTTCGTCCCTAAACGATATTCGTTGCAGAGTTCGTCGTTAAAGAATTAATAAAAAATCGTCGCTAAATTTGTTCATGAATAATGTTCATGGCAAAAGTAAAAAAATTTGGTGGCAATTTTAGCGACGAATAAAGTTCATGGCTAATTTGCGACGAATAAAGTTCGTGGCTAATTTTGCGACGAATTTTGCCACGAAATTTGCAACGAGTTTTGCCACGAATTTTGCCACGAATTTTGCGACGGATTTTTCGACGAATTTTGCGACGGATTTTGCAACGAATTTTGCGACGATTTTTGCGACGAATTTTGCGACGAACTTTGTGACGAATTTTGCGACGACCTAGTAGCGTCACAAAATTCGTCGCAAATTCGATTTGCGATGAATTTTGCCACGAAATTTGCGACGGATTTTGCCACGAATTTTGCGACGGATTTTGCCACGAAATTTGCCATGAATTTTGCGGCGGATTTTGCGACGAATTTTGCGACGGATTTTGCGACGAATTTTGCGACGAATTATTTGCGACGAACTTTGCGATGGATTTTGCGACGAATTTTTTTCCGTCGCAAATTTGCGATGGAAATTTAAATTTTCCGTCGCAAAAATTTGCGACGACCTAGTAGCGACGGAATTTTTTCCGTCGCAAAATTCGTCGCAAATTCGATTTGCGACGGATTTTTGCAAATTTTTCGTCGCAAAATTCGTCGCAAAAATCATATTTTTTTGTAGTGGTTTCCTAAAGCCCAAAACCCGGTTTTGATGCCTGAACCACTCTTCCTGCCCCTAACCTCTGGAGCACTACCAGTGAGGGTAAGGTGAAGGTGATTTATGGTTGGCGTCTTGTCCAACAAAATTCTCGGTTGAAGTCCATATCGGAATGCTATGCAGTTCTCCTGATCGCTCTGCGTTGGGTCTTTCATTCTTGAATCGATTACATCTAGTCTCGGGTAAGTCTTTCTGTATGCTCTGTTTTTTCTTTGGAAAGTGATCATGGAGAGGGAGGAGGAATCCGAAAGTCGAATGGCAGTACTCAGCAAACGATTAGGCAGGCTTTGGTCAAGAACAGAAGTTACTGCAATGGATGAGGCGGTTCCTACAAGCAAAATCAGAGAAGGTAGACTTACCCTCGTTGGCAAGCTGTTTCAAAACCCAAAGATAAACTTTCTAGCATTCCAAAGCACAATGAGGAGAGCATGGAGACTTGAGAATGTAACCTTCTCCCCTTTGGAATCTGGAATTTATGCCATTACCTTCATGACTGAGAAAGAACTTCTGGGGGTGTTTGAAACTAGTCCTTGGTCCTTCTCGAGCCATCTATTGATTCTCAAAAAATCGGAACCAGATATGCCTCCACACCGATATGAGTTTGATACGTGTCCTTTTTGGGTGCAAATCCACGGACTTCCTTTTGATTGGCTTACAGAAGAAGTCATTCTAAGAGCTGTTAAAAGTCTGGGTCTGGTTATGGATGTGAAGGTAGATGCGAAAGGTGTTATAGCTAACAAAATTGGGAAGGCGAAAGCCCTCTTAGATGTGAAAACCCCTTTAAAATCTGGATTTATTGCTAGTATGGGAGGGAAAAAGCTCTGGTTGGATTATAAGTTTGAGAGGCTCCCTAATTTCTGCTACTCTTGCGGTAGATTAGGGCACAACGCAAATTACTGTGAAGAAGTCGAATTCAAAGAAGGGAAATCTGAAGCTGAGGATGAGTGTCTCTATGGCCAGTGGCTTAAAGCCGAAGTACAGGGTCACAGTCCTTTTATGAAGCTCTTTTATGGGAAGTTAAAGGAGGAGGATATAGAGGAGGAAATTATCTCTGAGACCCCAATACTTTCCCTCTAGATTGTGCCTTTTCAGGGTGAAGCCCTGCAACCTGTCTCTCAGCCCAACCATATTCAAGTAGAAAAGGGAAAGAACATAATGTTTGGGGATACAAGTAAGCAGTCGCAGCAACAAGCCAAGAGGGGTGAGGACTTTATTTCAACCAATCTGCCGTTTACAGGTCAGAGCAGTGGCTCTACCTCCCCTGATGTACAAACGCTCCCAGAAGTTGCTCAGACTAAGAAGCTTAAAGAGACAAAGAAAGCTGCTGCTAAGAAGAAACACAGGTACAGCCCCTATAAAGCACAAATGGCAAACTCGCAGTTGCTAGATGAAACTCAATTGCTGGATACACCTATTCAAGTGGTGTCAGGAACAATGGAATGGGCTTTGGTGGCTAGCCCTAATAAGCCACCGGGTTACATATGAATATTATATGCTGGAATTGTCAGGGGTTGGGCAATCCCTTGACAATTCAAGCAATCAGAGCCCTAGTGGCTCAAGAAAAGCCCAAGATATTTTTTTGATGGAGACCAAAAATCAAGAACAAGTAGTACTTCGGCTGAGCGGCTACGACCTGAACGCTTTTTGGTTAATCCGAGGGGTATTGCCAGGGGTATGGCTATTTTTTGGGATGACAGAGTATCTTTAATAGTGGAATCAAACTCTAAATTCTTTATAGATTTGGTGTGCGTATTAGAGGAAACAAAACAACGAATGCGACTGACCTTTATACATGCACCAAATGAGTTCCAGAGAAGGCTAGTTCTTTGGGAAGATATGTACAACATTAGCCACTTGAATGATCTACCATGGGTCTGCATAGGAGACTTCAATGAAATCCTTTATCACTGGGAAAAAATAGGGAAGCGCATGGCAGAACATTATCGACTCAATGCTTTCCGAGACTTCATCAATGCTTGTTCTTTAATGGACTTGGAAAGTAAGGGATGTGCTTTCACTTGGACAAATAATAGGGATGGAGAAAATCATGTCAAGGAGAGATTGGACAGGGTATTGTGCACTATGGACTGGCGAATTTGCTTTCCACACGCTGAAGCATATGCATTGCCGGCAATAGGGTCAGACCATAGTCCTATTTTGTTATCTCTCTTTCCCAAGTTAGTGAAAAGGAAAAAAGACTTTAAATTTGAGGCTTTTTGGCTGGAAGATGAGGAATGTGGAAACATCATTAAAAAAGTCTGGCACTCGGAAGAATTGATGAATGAAGATCTGCTGAAGAGGCTGAAAGTGGTATCATTGGCTCTATCTAAATGGAGCAACACAAAGTTCTCCAATGGAAAGAAGAAAATAGACCTTTTAAAGAGAGAGCTTCAGGACATCTCCAACAACCGACACTTGCATTGGGAAAGAGAGAGGGTGCAGTTTCTAAAAAATGAAATCGAGAAGATGTGGAGACAAGAGGGGATGTACTGGGGTATGAGATCGAGAGTAAATTAGCTCAAATGGGGAGACAAAAACACTAAATTTTTTCACGCCACAACAATTCAGAGGAGACAGAGGAACAAAATCTCCATGTTAAAAAATGAAGAAGGGGAATGGGCTCATGATATAACTCAACTAAAGCAGCACACATCTCAATTCTTCAGCAACCTTTTTCAAACAGTCGGCCCTCGAAATTTCCAGCCAACTCTGGAGGACTATCCTTGTCTAGTAGGGGAGGACATGAACCAGATGTTGACAAAGCCAGTGACACTAGAAGAAGTAACTGAAGCAGTCTACCAGTTGGGATCTACAAAAGCCCCAGGACCCGATGGTTTAAATGGCCAGTTTTTTCAGCATAACTGGAAAGAGCTACAACAAGCAGTTTTCAGGGAGGTACAAAACTTTTTTCGCTCGGGGTATCTCAACTCAGAGCTGAACAGAACATATATATCCCTCGTTCCAAAGATCCCAAACCCGGAAAAACTGGAACAATTTCGCCCCATAAGCCTGTGTAACTTTGCGTACAAGATTATATCAAAAGTCTTGGCAAACCGATTGAAAATATGCTTGCCAAACTTAATTTCTATTGAGCAAAGTGCCTTCGTGAGTGGAAGACAAATTCAGGATAACATCTTAATTGTCCAAGAGGTGCTACATCAGTTGAGAATCAGAAAGAGAAAAACAAAGTTTCAAGCAGTGCTTAAACTTGATATGCAAAAAGCTTATGACAGAGTTGAATGGGATTTTTTGGAAGCTTGCATGGGGAAGATGGGTTTCAGTGATCAATGGGTGAAGTGGATTATGCAATGTGTCTCTACTGTGTCCTTTAGTGTCAAGCTAAATGGAGAGCCTCTACCCTATTTTCAACCAGCAAGAGGAATTAGACAAGGTGATCCCCTCTCCCCCTATTTGTTCATCTTGGTGGGTAATGTATTATCTTTTTTGATGAAAAAGGCAATGGAGGACGGAAGTATAAAGGGGATCAAGCTGAATAGATTCTGCCCCACGCTATCTCACCTCTTGTTTGCAGACGACTCAATCTTTTTCCTCGATGGAACGATTATGGAATGCCAAAAAGTTGCAGCTGTTTTGAATCAATACTGTTTTGCGTCTGGGCAATCAATAAACTTAAACAAGTCAGGGGTATATTTCAGCAAGGATTGTCCACTGAGTTTGAGACAGATTATGTCATATGAGCTTAGAGTTCCAGAATTAGAGAAGAAGGGGAAGTACCTAGGGATCCCTTCAGACTGGGGGGCATCAAAAAAACATATGTTTGCCTGGATACTAGCAAGAGTAAACACGAAACTAGTAGGTTGGAAGGGAAATCTGATGTCAAAAGCTGGAAAAGAAATACTCATCAAAGCAGTGGTGCAAGCACTACCCCAATATGCTATGTCTATCTTTAAAATCCCCGTCTCCATTTGCAGGGCAATTGAAAAGAAAATTGCGTCTTTTTGGTGGAAAAATGGTGAAACACAAGCTGGACTCCATTGGAGGAAATGGGATGTTCTGAAACGAAGAAAGGATAGTGGAGGACTTGGATTCAGGGATCTAATGACTTTTAATGGGTCTATGTTGGGAAAACAAGCATGGCGAATTACCCAAAACCCTTCCTCATTATGGACTCAAGTATTGAAAGGGCTGTATTTCCCTAATTGTGATTTCTGGCATGCAGGGAAAGGGACTCGTCCCCCATGGGGGTGGCTTAGTGTTCTGATGGGGAGAGCATCTATCCATCCTTCCATTATGTGGTCTGTGGGTAATGGGGAACAAATTAACATTAGAGAAGACAAATGGCTTCATAGGGGAGTTATTGGGGGTCCACCTAATCGTGAGGAGCCTAAGAGGGTAGCTGAGTTAATTTTGCAGGAGGAGTCGAAGTGGAATGAATCAAAGCTACATCAGCTTTTTGATGAACAGCTTGTCGATGAAATTCTTGCAATCCCACTGAGGTCACATGACACTGATGACAAATTGGTTTGGTTAAATACCAAATAAGGATCCTATACAGTCAAGAGTGGCTATAATAGAAACAGAGACCTTGCAATGAAACCAAACCCAAATCAGGCTTCTTCTTCATATCAAACCCCCGAAGCATTGTGGACAAAAATTTGGAAGGCAAACACAGAACCGAAGATCAGATTTTTCCTATGGGCGATATGTCAAAATGCATTACCAACAAAGGTAAATCTAATCAGAAGAAGTATTGTACCAGAACCGATGTGTGAGCTATGTCACCAACATCCCGAAACTATTGAGCATCTTTTTCTCCTCTGTCCATGGACGAAACAAGTCTAGTCCAATCCTTCACTGCAAATCAAGTTTCCCAATCAAGGTCTCCCAAGAATTGAAGAATGGCTATGGAATTTTAGCGTCACAACTATACCTTTTGAGCTACTTGTGACTGTCCTTTGGCTTATTTGGAAATCAAGGAACAATTTCATATTCCGAAGACCGAAACCAAACCCAAATCAGCTGGTAAATACAGCTCAGTTGAAGCAAAATGAAGCACGACGAAGCAATTTAGGAAAAGGAAAAGCTGTTGAAGGCCAACACTTACCTCAAATTTGGCGAAATCCGCAACAGGGAGTCCTGAAGATCAATATTGATGCTTCCTTTATTGAAGGTTCAACGTCGGGGGCAATAGCTGCTGTGATGCGAGATAGCTATGGAAGAATGGTAGATGGTTTTGCAAAAACAGTGAGGGCCAACTCTGCAGCTCGAGCCGAGGTCAGTGCTCTTCTAGAAACGCTAGTCTTCTTCTTTGAACGGGCAAAGGATTGCCTTCTACTAGAGTCAGATAATTTAGACTTGATTAAAGCTGTCACATGTGTAGATTATTTCAAGTGGGATATACATGTGCTTATTTTGAAAGCCAAAGATTTGTTGGAAAATTTTACTGATATTAAGTTGACCTTTTGTAATAGAGAGTCCAACAAAGTGGCAGACTGGATAGCGAAGGCTCAAAGAAAAAATGTTATGCCACAGAATTGGAAACTCTACCCCCCTCCCGATCTTTGGAGTCTACTTTGCGTCGATGCTTTGCCGTTGTACTCGCAAGCTAAGTCGTGAGAATTGTATGAATATGGTTCTTCTGATAAAAAAAAAAACACCGCCACATTCACAATCACTTCTGTCCAGAAGTAGCTGAGAATCTAACTTATCTACTAACAATAAGTGAATTTAATTTCGTGCATCATATTCGTATTCTCGCTCACCTTGTGCATGACTAAGGAATATAAACTTTCTTGTCCTCTCATTAACAAAATACGAACTATCGAATATTTTGATAATAGAATAACCAACAAAGTTACATGACCAGACTTTTTCTAGAGTTCGACATCCGATCGCAGTCGATGGAAATCTAATTACCCGTTAGCTCGTCGTACGAAGTGCATCCACTTAGAATCTCCTCACCAATACCAGTACTAGAGAGTATTTTATCAGCAATCTCTTGTGACCTTCTGCTCATCAATTCTAGGATTACTTAAACAATTTTGGATTTTCCTTTGGAAACTGCTCTCAATACGTGACCAATGGATACTATAGGCTTTTGGTCTTTCCTCTTTCATTCTTTAGTCCCTTTTTTTCTAGACCCCACGCGTCTTTTTCTATGTTATCATCTAGTGGAGCGACTAAGCAAGAAGTAACATGGAGATGCCGTTGGCCTTGCCATATATTTTCACGGGTTCGACATCCAATTACAATAACAATCGATGACAATCTATTTATTAGATAGTTCGCCGTAATAAGTACATCCACCAGGAATCTTCTAATCATTATAGCACTAGAGATTATTTTATTAATCATCCTTTGTAACATTCCGTTCGTCAACTCTACAATTGTTTAAACAATTTTGGAGACCCTTTTTGCATGCTATTTTCATGTTCAAATGAAAATGAAAACAAAATAAACCGGAAGATTTTCGCTAAACAAACAGGGCAACCTGCTTTGCTTTTACCGCATCATCAAACCATATGTTATTTAGACCAGCCGATTTCGTGTAGCTCAGACGATTGAGACACTTCCGAAAGTCATGCACGACATTAGCTGTGCCCACTTGTGTTCGTACTCCATCAATGCTAGCTAGAAATAGAGTTTTCATGGACAGCTATGTGTGTATGTACGTTGAATCCAAAAGCAAACCTCACGGAGGCTTTTGATAATTTCAGCATTTCATGTCCAGTCGCCCTCCCCATAGTTCCGTATCGCAATTATAGGCAAAAGTACACCACACGTGCCATAACTTGTGTACGGCGATCACTTTGGTGCCATAACTTTTTTTCGGATCACTTTGGTGTCAAGTCGGAGGAAAATCGATCACTTTAGTGACTCCGGCCAAAATTCCGGCCAAAAAGCTGACATGGCATTTATATTAAAAAAAATGATCTGACTTGTACACGGTGGAAATTACGTGGCTTTTTTTCGAATTTTTTAATTTTTAGAAAAATAATAATAATTAAAATAATTAAAAAAAAACAAAAAACAAAAAACAAAAAAGGTGTTGCAGCAGTGGCGAGGGAGCCCTCGCCGCTGCTGCCGCCAAGCCACCACCGCCGGGAAGGGCCAGCGGTGGTGGGCGCAGTGGTCGGCGAGGGTCGCCGGCCCTTGGCCGAGGCCCGCGACTCCGGCCTCGCCCGGCGAGGGCCGGATTCGGCGAGGTGAGACCTCGCCGTCGCTCGGGTCCCGACGGCGAGGCCCCGCCTCGCCTTCGCCGGGCAAGGTCGGCCTCACCTTCGCCGGGCTAGGCGAGACCTCGCCGTCGCGACCCAGCGACGGCGAGGTCCCGCCGCCCAGCGAGGCGAGGCGACCTCGCCGTCGCGACCCGGGCGACGGCGAGGTCTCGGCCTCGCCTTGGCCGGGCGAGGCGGGACCTCGCCGTCGCCCGGGTCGCGACGGCAAGGCGCGGCCTCGCTTCACCGGGCGAGGCGAGACCTCGCCGTCGCGACCCGTGCGACGGCGAGGTCTCGCCTCGCCGGATCCGCCTCGCCTCGGCGAGGCGAGGGTCGCCGGGGTCGGCGAGGGTTGTCGGGCCCCGGCGTGGGCCGGCGACCCTCGCGACCACCGCGCCCACCACCGTCGGCCCTTCCCGGCGGTGGTGGCTTGGCGGCAGCAACGGCGAGGGCTCCCTCGCCGCTGCTGCAGGGTTTTTTTTTTTAAAATTAATTAATTAATTAATATTTAAAAAAAATACACGTCAGCGGGCTAAACGGCGTTGTTTTTGGTTTTTAATGCTGACTGGACCTCTCCGGCGAGCCGTGTCAGCGCCACATCGGATTTCCGGCGAGCCACGTCAGCATTGGCACTAAAGTGATCGATTTTCAAAAAAGTTGACACCAAAGTGATCCGAAAAAAAGTTTTGGCACCAAAGTGATCGCCGTACACAAGTTATGGCACTTATGGTGTACTTTTGCCCGCAATTATATATCACGTGAGACTTGGAAACCATCTCGGTAACGCAAATCAGTGTCGCCTTCGAAGAATGAAACCTTACAAGATTCTTATAGTGTGTGTGGACACTGGGGCCACATCTGCTGTGGTCGATAGGACAACAATTTTTTGGGTCTTTCACACCCACCTAACATTTCCACATGCTTTTATCTTCTAATTTGTCAATCCCATTCCTCCAGTCGCAGCTCAAGAAGAATCAACAACTCCAAGGGTAGAAACGCTCAACGCGAAGCACGCAAAAGGAGAGAAGGTTGTTGGTTGCAAGGATTCGAGTTCGATTCTTCCAATTGCTGATTTTATCGGTTCATTCAAAAGCCGCCATTGCTGTAATCTCATTTCTTATTTTCTGTTTTCCAGTTTTTTTCTTTTTCTTGCCAGAATCCTGTAATCTTACTTTTATTAGCTTACTACGTGCTCACAAAATTAAATGCGCATATAAAAAGAAAAGATTATAGATTGAGATTGTCTCCAAAAAAAGAAAGGTCAGTTATTTTTTCCATGAATGAAATGAGCGAAGGTAATTATTCTTTGAGAGGAGCAAATAGATGCTTGAATTGTTGATATTAATTGTTAATTGTTCTGGAAGGAAGCAAAGTGAGTAAATTCAGTAAATTGACTTAGGCTCTGTTTGTTTCGCGAAAAATGAATGATTTAGAAAATACTTTCCTAAAAATAATCGCTTGTATCACTTGAAATAATTAATCAATGAAAATTATTTTCATTACAGACAACAATTTCTGTCTACACATTTTCATATGCGACGAAAATATTTTTCGTTCATTTATTTTTGTAAGCGATACAAGTAGACATGGCTACGGGCCGGTTTTGGCCCGGAATCGGCCCGGGTCAAACTTGGGACCGGCCCGTTGACCGGGCCCGCGGTTCGGAACCGGAACCGGCCCGTGGCCTACGGGCCCGGTTCCGGTTCCAAAAAAAAAAAAAAAAACTCGAGTAATCTCTTCATCTTCCTGGAGTCGAGGGCTTCAAGCTCCCCTCCTCGCCCTCCCCTCCGCCGCCCCCTCCACCTCCCTCCTCCTCATGCCCTCCCTGGTCCTCCCACCCTTCCCTCCCTTACATCGGCGTCAAGCTCGTGACCCACTTCCCCGGCAACTCCTCCGCGCTGAACCTGCCGGGGGTCCACGCCGTCTTCGTCCTCTTCAGCTCCCTCACCGGCCAGCCCCTTCCCCCCTCTCCCCTGCGCCTCCTCCGGTCCTCCCCTTTTCTCCTCCGCCCGCCCCCCGTCTTCCCGAGATCTGACCCCGCCGCTGTCGCCGCCGTCACCCCCGCCCATGGCCGCAGCCGCCGACGCCGACGCCCCCTCCTCCTTCTCCCTCGCTACCCTGCGCCTCCTCCCCTTTTCTCCTCCTCCCCCTTCGAACCGGAACCGGAACCGGCCCGGAACCGCCGGTTCCGGTTCATACATGGCCACGAACTGGAACCGCCGGTTCCGAACCGGAACCGGCGGTTCCTGAACCATGGCCATGTCTAGATACAAGTGACCATTTTTTGAAAAATATTTTTCAAATTATTTATTTATCGCGAAACAAATGGAGCCTTAATATCTATAAAATAATATGAAAGGGAGAATTTTTGGATGGATGGGAGGGAGATCCGTGAGTGTCGAATTACAGCCAGTGGGCTTTGGTTTGTTTTGCCGACTTCCAGTTTTTTTTCGTTTTTATTCCTTTCAGGAAAATTCTTAAGTTGTTAAATGATCATCTTAGTTTGACTTTCTCTCTCATTTTTCATCACGTTTTTTTTCTTATATATTTATTTATTTATTTATTTTTAACACATAAGTGAGTTCTAACATATAAGAACATAATTCTACGCAAATCCAATCAATTTGTATTTGATGTTTACAATTTAGTTAACATTATTGTCATCACCTAGATTTTAATTTTCTTTAAATTCATATATGAAAATAACATAAATACCACCAGTGATCATAATGCTTACAGTGTGCGTGAGTTGAACAAAATCATCCCAAATATGCCAAATTTAATTTATATGAAAGTATGAATTCTTGTTACTGATATGAAATTATTGCTCGATGATAAATTATGGAGCCATGATGATGTGCGTTTAGGATTGACAAATTTTCGATATATCAAGTGTACAAGACAGATCACACAAGCAAGGCTCAGGCCTGTGGAAAATGTATTTAACAGCGGCAATGTACCTCGTAAAGATTCATTTCAACCCACCGCTCAATGTATGTCCATTCCACACGTATTCGTCAATCTGACACCACACAAGTGTCCTGATTTCTATCGAAACAAGGCTACTTGCTTTGCTTTTGCTGCATCGTTTTTTGACAAACTTTTTCGGTAGATTGATATGCGATCGTAGTCGATAAAAATCTATGTATCAGTACCTCATCATATAAAGTGCATCCGCTCGGAATCTTCTAATCATATTAGCACTAGAGAGCAATTTATTGGTTATCTCTCATAGTGTTCTACTCATCAACTATACAATCACTTAAACGATTTTGAAAACTGCTTTTTTTGGAAACGGTTCTGAATACACGACCAAACGCTTCTTAACATACTAATTTCACGAAAATGAAAACAAAGAAGGGGGCAATTTCTCTAAACAAACAGGGCAACGTGCTTTGCTTTTGCCTCATAGTCAAGCCATGAGATAGACTAGCTAGGGGAAGCCTATCGATTTCGGGCATATCAAGCTCGGACTTCGTCCATTGGGAATCTTCCAAAAGTTATCCACGACATAGCATTGCCCACTTGCGTTTCTACTCCATCCGTGCCAGCCACAAATGGAGTTTTCATGGACAGCTGTGTGTTTGTACGTTGATATGAGTGCCTTTCTTAAGTGGTCATCAAGCTATTAATTTGGAGTGCAATCCACGAAAATTGTTTGGTCAAAATCTGATATAACACTAGCTTTTGAAAGAATATTGTTAGGAGTGTTTTAACTGGTTAAGTATTCCTTTTTTACTGCGGCATGCTTTGTTCTTAAACAGATATTAGGAATTCTTGATATTGGCTGAGCTGCTTGGATACATCGTATGGACTGATTTTAGAATGGAATCCATGTCAGTAGCAGCAGAAGGAACAAGGACTCTTACTATGTCCAAGCACAAGCATCACGTTAAATGAATTCTTGAAAGGTAAAAACAACTAGGGCTCATGGTTACTCCCAATTAAACTGGTCAGCCGATATGCTCTCATTATGGCTTGCAGGATATTCTAATTTCGTAGGAGCATTTCGCTACTGGATGTTGAAAACTGCACTTGTAGACATTGATTGCTGATCTTGATGGATCTGAATACACTTATGTGTCTACCAGGTAGCACCAGATGCTGAAGTTTTAAATCATTTTCACTTGCACAGCGGTTGCAGCAGTGGCTTACCCTTGTTTGGGTCTATCCCCATGCAAGATCATAAGCCTGTTTTTGCACACACTTGTCTTCTTATCGGGTCCTTCCTCTCTTTTTCATGGACCTCATGCGTCTTTCTTTCACACCGCCAAACATTTCCACAAGCTTTATCTTCTTATTGGTCAATTTCCATTCCCACTACGGAGATTGACTGAAAGTGAAGTCCGGACAACTTTGCAATTGCCCCGTGAACTTTGCGATTGCCATGGGCATTGTTAGGGAACTTCATCATCGACTGCCAATAATTCTCTTCAGCTACGCATCTGCCTAAACACCGCCACATTCACAATCACTTCTATCCGGAAGTAGCGTAACAGAGAATCTAACTTATCTACTAACAACATGTGAATATAATTTCGTGCATCGTATACTTATTCTCGCTCACCTTGTTCATAACCAAGGAATATAAACTTTCTTGTCCTCTCATTGATATTACCATCACCGGCTTAAACAAAATTTACTCTCCATTAGTTTACCACAAAAAACTCCCCAAATTAGTACACCTGTGACAAATTCACTCCAAACTAATTTTTTTACTACCAAAAACCCCAAACCGGTACACCTGTGATAAATTTACCATATGTTAGTTTCCGTTAAATTTTACTGTCAAATTGCTGAGTTAGATGACGCGTGGCAGCTGACAGATATATCAGTTTAGGGCTTTACCCCTCTTTTTGTAACATATTTATCAATTTATGATTTTTTGTGGTATTAATCCAATTTAACGGAGGGTAAATTTGTTACAAGTGTAGCAGTTTGGGGTTTTTTGTGGTCAAAAAATTAGTTTGGAATAAATTTTTCACAGGTGTACCAGTTTAGGATTTTTCGTGATATTAGCCCTAGAATAATCAACAAAGTTACATGGCCAGACTCTTTCCAGAGTTCGACATCCGATCGCGATGGAAATCTAATTACCCAATAGCTCATCGTATGAAGTGCATTCACTAGAAATCTCCTGACCAATACCAGTACTTGAGAGTATTTTTCAGCAATCTCTTGTGACCTTCTCCTCATCAACTCTAGGATTACTTAAACAATTTTGGGTTTTCCTTTGGAAACTACTCTCAATACGTGACCGAAGGCTTTTTTTCAATACTGTTTTCACGTTCAAACGAAAATGAAAACAAAAAAGTAGAAAATTTTCTCAAAACATACGGGGCAACCTTCTTTTTAGACCTATAGGCTTTTGGTCTTTGCTCTTTCTTTCTTTAGACCCTTTTTTTCTGGCAAAAGGACACTATAAGTGCCATAACTTATGTACGGCGCTCACTTTAGTGTCAAAAGTTTTCGCCGGCTCACTTAAGTGCCAAATCGGAAGAAAAACGATCACTTAGGCTCCGTTCATTTGGCGGAAAATATTCTCCTTTTGGAAAATATTTTCCCGGAAGTCATTTTCCTGAAAAATGTTTTCCCGGAACATAATTTTCCGGTGTTCGGCGATCAATATGAAAAAGTTTCGAATTTTTCACGGCGACGGCTGGCCGCGGCGGCGCGCGGCGGCGGCGGCGGCGGGCGGCGGCGGGGCGGCAGCCGGCGACCGGTGGCGGCGGCGGCTGGCGACTGGGCAGGCGGGTGGCGGCGGCGGTTACGGCGGGCGGCGATCGGCGGTGGCAATGGCGGGCGTGGATGGCTGGCGGGCGTGGCGGCGGGCGGGTAACCATGGCGCCAAGGAAGTGGCACGGAGGAGGCCGGCGGGCGGCGGCGGCGGCGGCGACCGGCGGGCGACGGCCAACGGCGGTGACCGGCGATCAACTTCCTCTCCCGCAGAAAACATTTTCCCTCCCATGGGCAATTTTGCCTTCAATTTGGGGGAAAATGATTTCCTCTTTGTGAAAAGAGGAAATCATTTTCCTCAAAACAATGAAGGATTTGGGGGTGGGGAAGGAAAATGTTTTCCCACGGAAAACATTTTCCGCCCCGAACACCGGAAAACGCTGAAAATGTTTTCCGGAAAAATATTTTTCCGCAAACGAACACAGCCTTAAGTGCCAAAAGTTTTTTTTGGATCACTTCAATGCTAAAATTTTTAAAAAACGATCACTTAAGTACCAATATCCGGCGAGCCACATCAGCTTCAAAAATTAATAAAAAAAAATGCCACATCGGATTTCTGGCGAAAAATTGTGTACGACACCGGAGTTGGCACTTAAGTGATCGTTTTTCAAAAATTTTAGCACTAAAGTGATCAAAAAAAACTTATGGCACCAAAGTGAGCGCCGTATACAAGTTATGACACTTGTAGTGTTCTTTTGCCCTTTTTTTCTGGACCCCACGCGCCTTTCACACCACCTAACATTTGCACATGCTGATCTTCTTATTGGTCAAATCCATTCCCACTGAATTTACAACAGTGACTGACCATGAACTAACATGGAAATGCCGTTGGGCCTTGCTGTATATTCGTGCATGAAGTTGATCACACCACCTAACATTTGCACATGCTTATCTTCTTATTGGTCAAATCCATTCCCACTGAATTTACAACAGTGACTGACCATGAACTAACATGGAAATGCCGTTGGGCCTTGCTGTATATTCGTGCATGAAGTTGATCATGCCGCACCACCAAACTATTGTCTCTCAACAAAAGCATCAGCTCTGCAGCCTTCTCGACCCCTGATTTTGCCTTTGGAAATGGCCGAGTCACTGCTCTACAGCATTGCCACTGGCATAATGGAAAGCATCGGCTCCCAAATTGCGAAACCTGGAGGCGCCTACGCTTCTCAAATGATCCAATTGTTCTGCTGTGCTGAGGGCGAGCTCCATAGTCTTAAGGAAACTGTCGAGACCATCCGAGCTGTGCTTATGGATGCCGAGAAGAAGCAATGGCACGACAACCAGGTCAAGCTCTGGCTCAGGAGGCTCAAGGATGTGCTGTACGACGCACAGGACTTGTTCGACAACATCTCGACCGAAGACCTGAGGCGACAAGCTATGGCTGGCAACGAGATAATGAAAGAGGTATGCCTTTTCTTCTCCGAATCAAATCAGCTTGCGCACGGCTTCAATGTGGCTAATCAGATTCGGCAACTTAGGAAGAAACTGGATGAATTCGCATATAATAATAATTTCAACTTTAAGCAGCTTCCGAGTGAGGAAAAAATGGCCGCCGGAAGACGAAAGAAACCTGAATTTCTCGCACCTGACACTAAAATAATTGGTAGGGAAGAGGACAAAGAAAAGATCAAACAAATTTTGTTTACTTCCTCCTCTAGCAACACTGTGTCCGTGGTTTCCATCATCGGTAAAGGAGGTCTTGGAAAAACCGCACTTGCACGACTAGTATACAACGATGGGGAGGTAAAAGGACATTTCGGGCTTAAGATGTGGGTTTGTGTATCTGATGTCTTTGATGTGGATCTGATTTTCAAAGAAATTCTTAAATCTGCAAAAAGTGACTGTCGAGGACATGCTGATGAGATGAAAGAGTTATCAGATGATGTTGAGAATAAGCCTCAAGACCAGTTGCGGAGTCTTCTTCGTGAGACTCTATCTAGGAAGAAATACTTGCTTGTTTTGGATGACTTGTGGAATGAAGTTCGGCATAAATGGTTGGAGCTTGGAGAATGGCTAGAGGGTGGTTTACCGGGAAGCAAGATACTTGTAACCACTCGCAGCTACAAAGTTGCAAAGGTCATGGATGAGAAATCAGTTATCCATGTTCTACGTGGCCTAGCTGAAAATGAGTCGTGGAACTTATTCAGGAAAATGGCTTTTGGAGATGGGGTAGAATCATTAGACCCAGCACTGGAGGAGATAGGTCGAGATATAGTTAAAAAATGCACCGGGGTTCCCCTTGCCATTAGAACTATTGGAGGCCATTTGTATGGCGAAAAGAAAGATGAATGGCTCCGTTACAAAGTGCATGAATTTCCAGAAATACCAGAAATTGATGAGGTTGATGCTGGAATTATGCAAGTCCTCAATTTCAGTTACGATCGTCTCCCGTCATGCTTGAAACATTGTTTTGCATATTGCTCATTGTTTCCGAAAGACTATTTCTATGATAAAGAGGAGATGATACAACTTTGGGTGGCACAAGGCTTTATTGAGTCCCAAAGCAGGGAGGATGACCTTGAAGAGGTCGCTAACAATTACTTCGAAGAACTATTAGGTAGGTCATTCCTCGATGTGATAGAGACAAACGACATTGGTGAGGTCATAAGATTCAAGATGCATGATCTCATGCATGATCTTGCCCAAAAAGTTGGTGGAGGTGAATGCAAGATTATTAATTTTAGAGGAGGAGATAACGATGAAAGAATTCGACATGCGTTTATTTCAGAAATTTCCTCTGAAGAGAAAATTGTGTCCCTGCTCAAAACATCCAAATTGCGGACGTTTCTCTGTAAATCCTCTTCACTCAACTCTTCCAAAGTTTTGTCCGAGTGTGGACACTGTCGAGCGTTAGTTTTGGATCATACAAATATTCCTTTCCCTCCTTCCTCTTTTAAAAAGTCGAAGCACTTAAGATTTCTTAAGATTTCTACAAACCAATCTATGCAGAGTTTGCCGGATTCAATCATGGATTTGGTGAACTTGCAGATCCTTGAACTTTATAGTTGTGAGAACCTTAAAACATTTCCAAGAGATTTGAGGAAATTGGTCAATCTTAGAAACCTCTCAATTGAGAGTTGTCAGTCACTAAGCCACCTACCACCCCTGAGTGAACTCCCCTCCCTAAAGACGTTGAGTCTCTTTGATTTGCCTGCGTTGGAGTTCCTTCAACAAACAAGTGACCTGGAGCAATCTAATACTACATGCCCCTTCTTCCCATCTCTTGAGAGACTGTCCCTCTTCGATTGCGGAAACCTGAAAGGATGGTTTGGAAGAAGGCAACTAATAGGAGCAGATAAAAAGCATCGGCCAGACAATTCACGGTCATCATTCCAAAAGCTTTGGTCCGTGACAATAATCGGCTGTCCCCACTTGAATGACGTGGCACCATTCCCCCAAGTGCAAGCGTTGGACATAGATGGAACGAAAATGTTGGCCAATCCAAATTGCCCATCAGAAGCAGCAGTGGGATCCACATTCATCCATTTCTCTAAACTGAAGCATCTAGAACTTGGTGGCAGTGATCTGGAGCCCTCGAAGCTCGAGACTCTATTCCAATTGGCTAGTAATCTCGAGTCCTTGCGCTTCACCGCTTGCAAACTAAGGAGTCTCTCTGGCATGCAGCACCTTTCCTCGCTCCAGAAACTCACCATTGGGGGAGTTGAAGGATTTGATTTATTGTGCGAAGAAGACGAGCACGGCATCCAATGGCGATTCCTTACGAAACTTCGTGTTCTTGAAATCGTTGATCTTGGTCCTTTGACGGCATTACCCGAGGGGATTCAACATGTCAAGACTCTACAATCTCTCGAGATTTATGACTGTCACAATCTGGAGAGTTTGCCGGAATGGATTGGAAACTTCTCTTTGCTCGAAAAGCTTGTATTATCTGAATGTCTGGATTTAAAGCGTTTGCCATTGGAGATGCGCAACCTCACACGCTTGACGGAATTGAGAATCGATTATTGTCCTGCTCTGGAACAGTGGTGCCTAACAGATGGCCGGGAAGATTGGCCAGAGATTGCGCACGTTCTGGTCACCGTTTGAGAGGACCGATCGTGACTATGAGCATAGTAGAGGTACGAGAAAAGACTTATCACCTATATAAATATATCAAGTTGTTCCTTTCAACTATTTTACCTTCTTTTATTATTTAACTAATTCCTCTTCACCATAGTATTTGCAGTGCGTACTTATCAAAAGAAGAAAAGCGTCCCCCCAGTTCCCCACCGACGCCGTGTACAGGTCGAAATTGCTCTTTGCACACCACCTTCCTCGTCCCTCTTTGCCAAGTCGCGGTCAATTCCGCCGAGGTCGATGATCGGGGGGAGCTGAGATTCTCGGATCCGCCGCTTGATTCGGAGCTGCCTTCGGATGTCTCGTCCAGTCGGATGAAGAGAATTTTGGGGACTTCGGCGATTTCGGCGTTGAGGAGGCCTTTGACGCCGGCTTTTGAGTCGTCGCTCACTCTGTCGTTGCTCAGCTCACTGGAGTCGGAGGCCAAATCGATGGTAGGCATTGTTCCTCTCTCTCTCTCTCTCTCTCTCTCTTTCTCTCTACTGCAATTCAATTTTCAGTGTGAATGTATATTTTGTTGGAGATGAGTTTGGATTATGAATTGAGTGTTATGGAGACATTACAATGCATGATATGATGAGCAGCTTCTTTATAGATGATTGATTGAGAGAAGAGAAGAGAAGGGCACAACGGCATCTGTTGCGAGGCTCCCGTTTGACTTTAGAATTATGCGGTCCATAAAAACGGAAGGAGAAAGTCATTAGCTTATGAGCTACCGCCACTTGCTTAGAAAATGATAATTGCTATTTAATAATGGGTGATTCTTTGAAGGACCAGGCAGCTAGCACACAAGTTTTGCAGTTTATGGAAAAAGAAAAGATGTTCTAGGACAGAGTTGACCATGGATAGATGACATGATGATTCGATGTCGTCTTAGCCCTTGGATTAATCGTTGCATCATCTTAATGTGATGCTGATTCAATTATATTAATTGGGTTTTAGATATCGTCGCGTTCGTAATGGAAACCTACTGTTTCGTAGAAAATCTGAGTGTACATAAATTTTTGCCTTGCCGTGGATTCTGGTTGTTGTCGGTGAGCGAGGTGGAGACTGGCAAGAGTTCCGCTTTTTATCCTTGCCGTCGATATACAAAGTCGAAATTCAAAGCTGAATGTCACGCCCTGAACCCCACGAGTGCGCAACATCCTGTAATGGTCATTATGATGCGACGTCCCAGGATGCGTCGCCGACCCAACATTTTATCTTTTGAATTACGCATGCGGAAGCTAAACAAAGATTACCCAGACAATAACAATAAACAAGGATAGATAGGAAAACGGTTCACAACATTGAAATTAAAACACCATTTTAACATTTACTTGATTAACCCCTGGGAACATTTTTTTACAAGCCCATTTCGGGCATTTCCATAAAAGTCTACAAAAAGATGTCAGGCTGGGGTCAATCTACTTCACCAAAAGTCAGCTTCCGGGCACCCCGAACCATACTGGGTGCATCAACATGCTAAAGGCCTGAAAAATGTTTAACAATCACAAATAAGATAAAAATCTCAATAAGTTAATGCCTAAGCCCCGTTTAGAAGGCCAACTCACCTCGGGGGTCCCTAATCACGCGACCATGCACTGGACACGAATCATTAACAAATCACAGGCATCATTACCGTGCTTTGGCACACATATTATGCATAACATAGATAGTCATATCTCACAGCGATGCATCAAACATATCACATACCCAGAACATGTATTGAGATTTCCCATGCATCAATGCATCACAGTCGCGCGTGTCTCGATTATAAGGCAAAATCCACTTGGGCACGTCCCATACCATGCCTAGCAGTTTCTACCCCATAATCAAGCACTATGCATCACACGTATTCCATTTGTTACGACCCCTCTTGGCCATTACACATCAAGCGATACGCAGCGAGATGGCAGTCTGCCGGCATAACCGGGCATCGTCCCACCCGTTGGCCACGGCATCGTCAAACGATCTACAGTAAGACGGCGTTCCAATATGGCAACATCAAACGATCTACAGTAAGATGGTATCCCGTAAAGAGCATCGAGTCCGGCCTCGGGCCGCGGCAAGGCATCCGAAGTATCGGTAATCCAGATAATCTCCAGGTATCTGATAAATCGAGTATTGTCAAGCGATCTACAGCAAGACCCCAATAAATCAGGCATCGTCAAGCGATCTACAGCAAGACGGCTCCAACGTGTGACCCACGAGCACACAAGCATTCAGGCCAATTCTTATCTTTTCATTTAGCCAATGCATCCATGAATCGTGCTCACATCAATGCCACACAACAATAACCAGTGGTCACACATGCAAATGGTCAATCGACTTTGTGAACCTCATTTTAAAACATGAATTTACAAAAGCATTCAACATCAGATCATAGCCAAATAAACATTATTGAACAGCTAGGTAATTGTAGTTACTGTCTCTATTAGGCCGGAAATCGAAAGCCAAAGATTTCAAGTAAAGACCGGCAGATTATGGAATTCTAGTAAAACTGGACAGATTTGCATGATTTGGGAAATCAACTTCAAAAGCATAGCAAATGGTTTCCAAAAATTATAAAATTCGAATATGTTATAAACAAGACCTTCACAAATATTTCCATGAAGAACACAATCCCAAAATCCTTATACAAAGATCACTTTTGATGGCTCGGATACAACCCAGAACTGGTCCGCCGGAACAGGGGAACAGAACCACAAGAAATACTCATTTTACAAACCAAATCCTTTCAAAACACTTTGAAATTTTTATACGTTGTAGACATGGATTTCGTTTACAAATCTTGTGAAGGAAGTATGTCGAAATCGAACTGGAAATTTTTATAAAAATCTGAGAAGGCACGAAGGTCACCGAATCCACAGTATAAAACAGTTCTGATTCGGTAAGAAATTGGACCTTCGTGTAACCCATTTGAGCTCAGAAAAATATGAAATTTAAGTATGTTATAGATCAAGATCTTATGAACAACTTTTGTGAAAAACACTTTTCAAGATTCTAACCACAAAATGCTTTATAAAAATGGAAAACCAGGGACGTACAGTAAAATCAGTTCTGAAATCAGGATAAAAGCTCCAAGAAACGCCTTCAACTTTGAGATCCACCACTTCTCAGCCATGATAATACCACACCAAGAGTTCAAATAAACATCCAACATCTATTTTAACTTAGTCTAGCAATCAAGACTCGCCAACGCTCATTCTAGAAGTTCAAACACACTAAAACATTAACTAGCTAAACTACTCAATGCAAGTTAAACATCCTAAACAAGGGATTAGATGTTAACTTACTCGTCTAAAAACGACGACAACGCGAGGATGACGGCAACGACACAAGTTGTCCGTGGTGGCCTCGGCTTGACACGGCAAGCGGCAAACAGCGGTGAATGGCACATGACGATCCACGGGGCTCAACGGTGGTGGCGTGAGGATGAGGAGAGAGTGGCGTGAGAACTCTCTCTCTCTCTCTCTCTCTCTATTTATAATAGCCCAAGCAAAGAAAAGACAAAATAGCATCATTACCAAATCTTCCTAGATTTTGTCATCATTACCAAATCTTCCTTCATTGATGGCTAGATTTGGCTATCATTATCAAATCTTCTTAAAATCTTAGTCATTAATGAATATGAGTCAAAAGTCACGATGAAATGATCTTGAAAATCTTGGCCATTAATGAAATGATATTGAAAATCTTTGCATTAATGAATAAGAGCCAAAATATCATCATGAAATGCCATTAATAACTTGATCTTGGAAATCTTTGAATTAATGGACAATGGACAGAATAACATGATGAGATGCCCCTACCCTAAAGTCCTATGGCCATTAATGCATGTCATGATGGTGGTGCCTTCAAAGTCCAACTAATTAACGCAAGTCATGATAAAGGGGGCCTCAAAGTCCAAGTTCCATCCAACGGCCAAGATCAAGCCTTGCTCTCCAAGTTCCATCCAACGGCCAAGATTTAATCTAACAAAGAGGTTTCTAGAAGGGCAAGTTAGCAAATAATTTTCGATGGCCAATTCGTAAAAATTATGAGGCGACGTCCTATAGTTCGGGTGTGATATCCTTGAGCACTCGACACGCAAAATCGGATCATAATTCGTGGCTATAATCGATCAATTGCAACTATAGTTTATTTCGAACTAACGGGCGGCTGCTAGAAATAAATTCTTTGATAGCCTTTCCCCTTTGGTTAGTATTCCCTGGGTGATCAGGCCAGAGCGAGAATTAACTAATAGAGCGTCGATGAAATCACTATTTCATAAAATCACCATATTTGGTCGAATTTTCATGATATCACACTGAACCAAATAGAAATGTTCCTGAAGGCACAATTTTTTCTCGCGGTAGATTAGTATTTTAACCGTCATACAAGTATCCAACACAGTTTCATCTAGAGATAGCATCTTTCTTTCAATTTTAAAGGGGTATCTGTTAATCTTCCTCTCCCTCTATTTTGTGTTCTCTTTTTGGTTCTGCTTTTGTTTAGAAAACAATCTTTGTTTTTGAGAGTTGCGTTGGTGCCCGTCAATTGAAGCAATATAAGCGTCAGTGACCGAGCGGTGACCGAGTTGTGTATGGACGACAGACTTTTATCTTCAAATACAGACATCGATAAGACCAGATTAATAAATTTACACGGTCTACAGCTTGAAATCAGGATGTGCACAAGCTCCATCTAGGCCTTTGGAAATGTAATGGGCAGTGTAGTTTAGAAGCGTGGTCTCCTTGTAGATTGGTGGGTTGTCTGCTGATGTCAATTCCTTGATGGGTCATCCAGCCTTAAAGATGGCCGAGGAGTGTCGCCGAAGAAGCACGCCACCAACACTCTCGGGCCTCTCTTGTTTGTCATGACTCGATGCTCGACACTCTTAAACCGGTCGTTTGTTAAGAGCTGCGAATATCTAGAACCGGTTTTAATGTTGATAAATATAAAAATTGCAGAATATCTAGAACTGACATTGACTACTCTTGTTAAAAACATTGTTTTCAATGTACATCTGTGTCATTTAGACAATTTTGAACCTTTCATTGTGAGGCTAGCATGTTTAACAAAGTTAGAATCAAGTTTGGATGAATCAAATAGCTCTGTTAGGATACTCGATGCACAAGGCATTTGGGAATGGTAAACGCAGATTTGTCTTATCAAAGAAAAGTGCAGATTGTGAAGACATGATGCTATTGTTACAGGGAAGATGCAATTAATTTTAATTCCTGAATTCTCAAGAGCTCTTCAACTAACTTAGCATATGAGAAAGTACAGTAATGGGGGCGAGAAGAGGATCGCAATGTGTTGACCAATCAAAACACGGTTTCAGAAAAATTCATAGATGAACAATGATATCTGGCCAAAGCTACTTACCTACAAAAGATCTTCAATGTTGATCACTAGCGCTCCAGGTTTTGGAGGAACGTCGATCCAGTGGTTCTCATGAAGCACTTGAAGTCCACCAATTTGATTTTGGAGGAGAATTGTGAGGAAGTCATTGTCTGAATGCTTTGTCACACCCAGGGTCAGCTTGGGCTGTGGGCATGGCGGATAGTAGTGGCACATGATCGTGTGTCCTTTTCCACACTCTCATCACATGCTTTGAATACTCCATCAGCATTTCTCTGCCATAGATATTGCGATGCATCAGAAAACTGAACTAGAGCTACTGTAAAAGTATGATTGGACAGATTCCCGGAGAATACAATAAAGGGTATTGGTATTTTGTATCAACTCTGGTGCAAAAGTTTGGTACTGCTACCGCTAGAACACTCATAAAGTCAACTGTCAAGGAACATCCTTTTTCTACCCAAAAAGAACGGAAATACCACCTCCGAGGTTCCCGTCTGTGAAAATGATTAATTATCAAGCATCATCTTACTGAATCGTCTCATTGATTGAGACAAGATGCAAAAGATTGCATGCTATAACATTTCTAGCGGAATTTAGGATGGTGGATTCTATCAATGTTAGGAACTTCTGACCGTCAACCTTCAATCATGTCCGAAGCTGATTATACACGCAAATGCTTGTTCTGATTATTTCTCAATGAGCATACTGTATAGTTCTGCCTCCTGTACAGAAGAGGCTGTACCAGCTTATGTTTTCGAGCAGAAGCATCCAGCTTCAACTCCCCTAGCCTGTAGTCCGTCTACTGAAATTGTTCTGTTGGGTGCATAGTGCCTTAGTTTGTTTAAGGATGTGTGGAGTTGACATGGAAATGGGTTGTTTTCATTTTTTTCTTGCTATTCAAGGATATGCGGAGTTGGCTCTCAGCTAGAGCAAAGGTCTTGGGCATTTTATGAATAGTCAAGGTTGCTAAATGACCTAAAGAGTTTGTGGGAGCATCACTTTTTTTTCTTTTTTTTTTTATTTCGACCAAAAAAAAAAGAGTTTATATTTTTTATACAGGGGTTGCGCAATGCAATATGATTTCTATGCCGATATAGAAATCTGCAGCATGTATATGCTTCTTTATATGACTTTGAACTTTGATTTGCAGATAGCTCAAAGGATAAAGACTTGCCTAGTACTTCATTGGACCAACATGAAGGAATGGATATGGACTTTGGTGAACGTAAAAACAGAAGGTTCATTTGTGGCGAGGAAGCTCTGAAAATATCACCCATAGAGCCGTACTGCTTGCGCTGTCCTATCCAAAGAGGTCATTTTAACATTGGGCCGCGCTATTTCCACCTCGATTATCTCTCTTTCCTCTTCTAATACTTCCATTTCAACCTCATTTTCTTTGTCGAGTTGATTGTAAACCCACAAAGGAAAGTAAATTTGACTTGAATGGTCAGCATTTGCATTTAGATTTCTCCTCCTACCGGCCATTTCCATCAGCAACATCCCAAAACTGTAAACATCAGCTTTATGAGAGACACCACCAATGTCCTTATAGAATAGCTCTGGAGACATATATCCCAAGGTTCTTCTTGCAACAGTCAACGATACGATACTGTGGTCTGCAAAATAAAGCTTTGCAAGCCCAAAGTCTAAAACTTTGGGAGTGAAATTTTGATCTAGAAGAATATTGTAAGGCTTGATATCAAAGTTTAGAATTTGCATGTTGCATCCTCGATGTAGATATTCTATCCCCCTAGCGACACCGAGAGAGATCTCATATATTCTCTTATAATCAAGAGAATAGTCGCCATCTTTAGAGAAAACGTGCTTATCCAAAGACCAATTCGACATGAAATCGTACACGAGAGCTTGCTTAGAGTTGTTGATGCAAAAACCAACAAGTTGAACCACATTAACATGGTGGATCCTTCCAATAGTAGCTACTTCTAATTTGTACTTGAAATTTCTTGTGATTTTCTTGATATCTGAGTAAGAGTACCTTATGGGCAAAAAGTTGTTATGAGCTTGTAGGAATTCTTCGATGTTTCCGTCCATTGCCAGTTGCCTCCTCATCAACTTATAGATTAAAAATACCAACACACATGGAATTCCGATAATGAATTTTGTTGCGACGAAGTGGCCTGTGGAGAAATTAGACCATAGATTAGCTTATTGTAACGATTCTTTTACAAATACAGTTGTTTTTGTCAGAGTGCTTCATAATTGTGAGGAGAAAAAGATTAGTCTTACCCAAGACAAAGGCGAGATTCGCAACTGCATTTAGTGCAACATTATTCGTGCTGCTCCACGTAGAATTACCTGTAGAAATAAAGAGAATTTGTTCCAGATGACTAAACGTGACTCATTCGAATTAACGACCAATCAATGAACAACTAAATCTATCATTTTAGCAGTTAAACATAACAGAAAAGTCACGCTAAGCCATAACCCAAGTCCAAGATAAATTCATACAATCGCTGCACAGTGCAAAGACGCACTTTTGTTGCAATGTGGAGACGTGTGAAATAAAGAACAGTCAACAAGTTTCACTCTCCTAGATAGCGCTCCTATCAAACTTTATTCTATCCACTAGTGGAATCCATGTTATCGTAGCCTGATCTTTTCTCTCGAACAAAGATTTAGCTTTTGTTCCTCTAGATGCACCAATTGATTTCACAAGTTCATGAGTCACTCGCGCGGAGTTCTAATTTATAGACATCATCTAATATGTGCTCAATTTATTCACCCACATAAAAAAGAGCCATACAAGGGGCAGGAGCTACAATCAAATTTAACATTTTCCCCCAAACAAATATAAAGGAATAGTGTCAAATCCGGAAAAGCTCCATGGTTTGCAAAATCAAAAAGAGCAATGCTGCCGAATCTACTAAACTTTTTTACTTAAAGTACTGTGACAATTTTCACTATTGGATATGTAAAGAAATTTGTTGGCAGCACACAGCAAAAGGCCGATACCTTCACCCAGGGAGATCGTCAGGAGAGAGCTCAAGTCCGAGCCCGTCAACATATC